GCACGTCCGTGCCAATAAGTGGCACGTCCGTGCAAGTCCCTGCACGTCCGTGCCAAATGAAGCACGTCCGTGCAAGGCCAGGCAGTAGCTACTACTCGTATTTTAACAAGTCTGTACGTCCGTGCCGACCTGTAGACGGGTCGTTTTCTCGTGTTCTCTATCCTTTTACTTGGGGGTTATATAATACCCCTTTGGCTTCATTTGTAAAGGGGGGATATTCTTATTGTAGTTTTAGCTTAGGTTAGGTTTTTAGAGAGAGAAACTCTCAATTTCTAGAGAGAGAAAGTGGGAAAAACATGTTGAATCTTGGAATATGAAGAATTGAAGGAAGGAGACTAGAAGATTTGATTATTTCTTGCATTATCAATGAGAATTTCTTACTCTCTCTCTCTCTCTTATTTTATTTATTTAATTGCTTATTTTTGTATCTTTTCTTGTTTTATTACTTGTTTATGTTAAATTAGTGTTTGATTTCATGTTCTTAGTTGTTAATTATTCATTTAGTTTTGCAATTAATTATGATTTGTGAGTAGCTCTTTTACTTAGGATGGTTGAAACCATTGATGAATTCACAAATACTTGTTTGCATGTATTGATTTAGCTAATGTGGGATGTTAATTAGTTGATTTAAGTGGTTTCAATGTTAGTTCTTGTAAGTGGCATTGCTAGAACTATTTATCTAAGCTTTCTCAACAAATGATCGAGAGATGAACTTTAGTTAGTCCTTTATGCTTAATTGACTTGAAATGCCATGAGAATCGGAATTTCCAGTCAAGGGAATGTTTATGTCATCGTGATTATGCGTTAACACTTGTTTTATGCTTTATAACTGTAGACACCCATTTGTGTCTCCCCAAAACCAAACCCGATGATGAGTACCTTTCACATCAAATCATAATCGAATGAAGTGAAAGTGTGGAAAGTCTAGTGTTACGGATAGTTTTAATTTCTTTTCTGTTCTCTCTGTTTTTTAAAATCTATTTTAAAAAAATAGCCAATCCGGTTTGGTTGGTCCATGATATGGGTCCAATAGTAGTGTAGTTGGATAGGTCTTGAAAAGAGCTTTGCAACGATATATTATAAGCCCAATTCCGATGAATATTGAGGAAGTTATGGCCAAATTACTAAACTAGGTCCAGTTGGAACCTTATATGCGGCCCAATGATCTAGGGGAGGGCCTAATATAGATTTATCATTTCTAATGCAATTAGGAATGGTTTTAGTCTTATAGATTCTTCTAGAAGGTTCTTTTCATTCCTAATTTTATTAGCATTGATAAATTGATTTTTGTTGACTTTTTAGAGATTTAATCAGAATAAAAGAATGTTTTTGAGGAAAATACGACTTTATCCTCCTGTATGGTTAATTTTTATCTGATTTTAGAAAACGCGTTAGAAAGTTAATTAACGCCAAACGCCAGTTATTAGCGCCTGGCGCCTGGCGCTAGCGTTAGCGCCTGCTGCTAATGTCAGCGTCAAGCGCTAACTCCATTTTTTCACGTCAGAACTCTGGTTCAATATTTTATCTTTTTGGCTGATTTTCTCTATAAATAGCCTCCTAAAAACTTTTTTTTCATTCATCAATTCTCATCAATCCTTCTCATCTAATTCTCATGAACTCTCATCAAGAATTTCTTGATTCTCTCTCTCTCTTTCTAAGCCAACCCTAGAGATATGAGACATCCAAGAAGTGCATTAATTAACAAAATTTTTCATACATTAGCACTAGACACGCCTAGCCAAGTTTGAAGTTGCCTTCGCCCTATACGTGAAAGGTTTTAATTTATGAGGGTTTGGTCCCAAATCTCTATTTCAATTATTTAATTTAATTGTTTTGATTTTATATTTTTCTTGAAGTTACTAACGTGTGTATTTTGTTATTAGAAAGAGATAAGAGACATCAAAGTAAGTGCTTAAATTGATTTATTGATTTTATGATGTAGAAATCATATCTAGGTTGTTATTATGATTCCTAATGTCATGTTAGAGCATTTTGATTTTCCTAGTATCATGTTAGGATGTTTTATTAATTCCTAGTATTATGTTTAGGGAAAAGGCTATAATTTCAAATATGACAATTATGATTTCTATGATGCTTCCTATTTTCTTTTTAATATTCATGATAGTATCATGTTAGGGCTAAAGCATTGATTTTTAATGCTTAGTGACATGCTAGGGTTTGTTATTAATCTTGTTAGTATCATGCCTAGAATCTTGCTATTATTATGCTTAAACATGATTGTTTTTATAATTATGATTATAATTTTATGAGTATTATTGTTATGATTATTATTATGTTTCTTGATATATTATATTTATTGTTATTGCTTGATCACGCCTTTTATGCATGTTTAAAGGGAATTTGTACTTGTAATCACGCTTAATAAGATAATTAATAATCTTGTTTAGGGTAAATATGATTATAATTCAAGTGATCGCCAATATTAGATTTATTTGTGCATTAATATTCAACCAACATAGATAAAAAGGTATAGGGTAAACCTAATGATTGCATGTTAGTCAGAAAGCACACATGAATACGATCATAATAAAGTAAAGGCCTATTATTAGGGCAGGTTCAATCTCTTTTAGGTTGGATTTGTACATTCATCCCCGAACTACCAGAAATGGTTCCAGACCTATTGGAGTTAACGATCTCATGGATCGTTAAGGGGTGTAACCTTCACCTCGTGAACAGTTTACAAGTTCCTAAAACTTGTTGGCGACTCTTTTGCTCTATCTTCTTTCCCTTTGGACGCCATCGTACTTAAGTGTATGATCACAGTGGGGTTCAAGCTAGGGGTAATTCTTGAAATATTCCCTACATTTTTTTGCTACTCCACTGGGGACGATTTCTATTTTAATTCCTGAAATTTATTTCGGCAATGATTTAGAATGAGTGGATGAGACTCGAAAAGTTCTAAGTATTTCATATGCGTAATTTTGATTAACATTATTGTCATATGCATAAAAAAGATCTCATTGGAATGACCATCCATAATGAGTTAAAACATTGGATTATTGCACGTAGGAAATTTGAGGGATATCTTTCACAACTAGGATCGAAATAATGCTGCGAGAAACTGGAAAATTTTATCGAGCACAGAAAGCTGGTGAGGCATGTAGGAACTAGCGTCAACGAACAAAGACTAGCGCCAGTATTTTGACTTTAGCGCTAGACGACAGCCTCTGTCGCCAGGCGCTAAAGCCAAAAAGTGGCGCTGGCCTCTGTTTGCTGCCGCCAAGTTCTTCCAATACCGAGCCAGAAATATGCGTTCTAATCACTACACCAAAAACTAGATTAGAGATCGCAAAATATAGAACGGTTACCAAAGATAGGCGTTCTCCAGAAGAATATAGAACGTATTTATATAAAAGGCGTTCTATATGTAAATACATATAAAACGGTTAGCATAGTTAACTGTTCTCTATTTTTTACTCTGAAATATCTTCAAAAAATAATTAATTATTATAGGTAATATAGAACAGTCATTTAACAACCGTTTTGTATTGTATTAATTAATCTCTTTTTTTAATTATTAGGAGGAAAAAATATACATAGTAATAATTTGCCCAAATTAATTAAAGGCCGCTAAATTGAATTGAATAGCGCGCTCTCCTCTTATCACTTTCACTTTCACGTTCTTTTATCACTTTCACTTTCACGTTCTTTTATCACTTTCACTCTAACTATACCTTGAAAAAAAAATTTGAACTGCTTGTTTATTGCTTTCATGAAACCTCCACCACTGTCCTTCAGCCGATGACTGTTCGCCACACCGCCGCACCACCGATCGCCGCACAACTTGTAAGCACCGCACCACTCCTCTGAGGTAGGTTCGAATCTTGTTATAGAGTGGTTGAATTTTGATTATTATTTGTCAATTAAAATGCATGCATCATTCGAAATATGAAGGAAACATAATTAAGTTCATAGTTTTCATCGATTAAATTAATTTGCAATTTGAATTTTAGGTGATTGAAAAAAAAAACTTCAAAGTTCTAGTTTTAGGGTTAAATTCAATCGATTGTTTGTATGCAAATATTTCAGTTGAATTGCAGTAAGTTCAATCAAATTTCCTTTAATTTTGTCGAATTACATCTATTTCAATAGTAATCAAAATAATTTTAGCCAAATTAATCTTACTTAAGTTCAATTTAGAACCCTAATCAGATAAAGAAAGAGGGGTAGGGGAAATTGTTTACCACTAGATTATTTAATTGTGCTCTATTAATTTCAAATACCCTCAACCTTCCTTGAAAATTATAAAATTTACATACTCATCTTCCCTTGTACTAATAATCTAATTTACTAGGCTTGTTTTATGTAGAGTATATAAATAAACGGCAAATGCAGTTAATATCTACTGTTCTTGGGCCTAAAGCTTCAATATGACAGTTTTCAGCTCAAGAGACCGACAATACACAATTACTCAATATTTCAGTTGTAGACAAATTTTACATTTATTTCCACAATCCCACTTCGTTGTGTTACTGGATACATTGCAGAATACAGTCTTGAATAGAGGTACTGTCAGTAGAATGTAAGTTGAACATATTCAATTTAGACCCAAATAAGAAAAGGCTCCATCATCATACAAGACAAATAATAAGTTAGAGATCTAATGAAAGACCAAGGTGTCAAGATTGCATGAAAAGTCCAAAATAACATCTATTAATCTAGTGATTATGTTTTCATTGACAAGACAAATAGCATATGCTCATCATTAAATCAACTAACATCTTATACTTTAGTAATTATAGAGCTTAAATAAATTATTATTTACATGTAAAAGTGAGTTTATTAGGTTGTTTTTATTTACGTTGTTGTAGGCATTAACTATTGTAGTGTATGTTAAAATTATATCCATAATTATATAGCAGTTATCTTTGTGACTTGTGTGAGTTTATTTTTATTTTTAACTTTCTAGTTTGTAGAAATGGACCGAACTTGGATAACCAAAAAAAAAATTAGGGGATCCAGAATATGAAGTTGGAGTTATGGAATTTTTTAAATTCGCTTTGGAAAATAATAGTGAAGGGCGTGATAAATTGCCATGTCCTTGTTACATCTGCCATAATCTTATGTATCACAAAGCTGATGTGATACTTAATCATTTGAGTAAAAGGCAATTTGATAGAACATATACTTGTTGGCATCGTCATGTTGAGAAAAGGGAAGAAATTTCAAGCAAGGATGCTCAAGGCCATAATACCGATGAGGGTAACGAATTAGAGGACATGACGAGTCAATTCGTACACAGAGTAGATGATGATCTCAATGTGACGGAAGAAATGTTGAGTGATTCTGAGAAGCCTTTATATGAAGGGTGTAAGTACACAAAGCTATCAGCTTCACTTAAGCTATACAGTTTGAAGGAGGGTCATAGTTGGACAGATAAGAGTTTTACAACATTACTTGAGTTCTTGATAGATGTCCTTCCATCTGATAATGTTTTTCCAAAGAATACATACAGGGCAAAAAAAAACATTATGTACAATGGGTTTGCGTTATGAAAAAATTCATGCGTGTCCTAACGATTGCATACTTTATCGAAATGAAAATGAATCAGCAAAGATTTGCCCAGAGTGTAATCTCTCAAGGTACAAGAAAAAGGAAGGAGTGCCAGCTAAGTTTTTGTGGTATTTTCCATTATTCCTAGGTTCAAACTGATGTATTCAGACCCGGTAGATGTAGAGAAGTTGACATGGCATAAATTTGGTCTGAAAAAGGATGGGTTACTTAGACACCCGGCTGACTCACCGCAATGGAGATTTATTAATGGACAATTCCCTGAATTTGGTAGTGAAGAACGAAACCTACACCTTGGGTTGTCTACTGATGGTATGAATCCATAAAGTTCCCTTAGTAGCATCCATAGTACATGGCCGGTCATGCCAGTGGCTTATAACTTACCTCCTTCGTTATGCATGAAAAGAAAGTAAATTATGTTGTCAATGCTTATTTCTGGACCTAAACAACCAGGAAATGACATCGATGTGTATTTGGCACCTCTCATAGACGACTTAAAGTTGTTGTGGGAAGAAGGTGTAGAAGTGTTTGATGCTAATCGAAATGAAATGTTCAATTTAAGAGCAATGTTATTTTGCACCATACAAGATTATCCAGCATATGGTAATCTTTCTAGCTATTATGTAAAAGGGGAAGGTGGTTGTCCTATATGTGAAGATGGTTGGAAAGGTAAATGGTTATCGGCATCTAGAAAGACGGTCTACTATGATCATCGTCCATTTATTCCTTTGGATCATAAGTATCGTCGAATGAAGAAAGCTTTTAATGGGGAACAAAATTTTGAAATTCACCCAAAAGTCTTTACTAGCCAAGAAGTATTTGAAAAGGTGAAAGAAATTTAACTTACTTTTGGCAAGTTAAAAAAAATAAAGATGCCATTCCTAAGAAAGGGTACAAGAAGTGTTGTGATTTTTGGCGTCTTCCTTATTGGAGATTTCTCTTTGTTTGACATTCTCTAGATATTATGCATATCGAAAAGAATGTGTTGATAGTTTGATTGGCACACTATTGAATATCTCTGGGAAGACAAAAGACGGTGTTAATGCTCGACTTGACTTGAAGGAAATGAATATGAGAAATGAGCTCAATGCCGTTGAAACTGGAAAACGGGACTATTTTCCACTTGCTGCTTATACACTGTCTAAGAAGGAGAAAGTTGAGCTTTGTGCATCCTTAGCCGGAGTTTAAGTTCCTGAGGGTTATTCTTCAAGCATTTCCTCTCTTGTTTCAATGGAGAATTTGAAACTCGTGGGTTTGAAGTCTCATGACTGCCATGTTCTTATGCAAGATCTCTTACCTATTGTTATTCGTTCAATTTTGCCAAAAAATGTACGATATGCCATTATCAGGTTATGTATTTTCTTTAAGGCAATCTATAGTAAAGTCATCAATCCAAAAGATTTGGATTCCTTAGAAACTGAAATTGATGTTATTTTGTTTCAATCGGAGATGTACTTTCCCCCCAGATTTTTTTGATGTAATGATACATTTTCCCGTTCATTTGGTAAAGGAGATTAGATTTTGTGGTCCCGTGCACAATAGAGCTCAATGGGCCTTTGAAAGACAAATGAAAACTTATAAGGGTTATGTTAAGAATGTGTATCGACCCGAGGCTTGTATCGCTGAAAGAATGCTTTATGAGTTAGCTATGGAATATTGCCTTGAAAGTTTAGGAGATATGAGGACAGTAGGCACTTGTACTTCTCAACACAGTGACACACTTGAGGGTAAGGGAACCATAGGTCGTAGAGAACTTGACTTGTCTCCTGAAAAGTGGCACATGGCCCACACATATATTCTTTTCAATGAAGATGAAATTGCACCGTATATTAATAGACATATGAATTTTTTGAAGATGCATAATCAAAAGGCTAGCTCCAAACCTTTGGCTACTGAACAAAGTAAAACATTTCATCTTTGGCTCAAGGATCAAGTAATGAAAGAGATCAAAAATTCCCACAAACTATTTCTGACCGACTTAGGAGTTTAGCTAATGGTCCTGATTTCTCTGCCTCATTTTTCTCTGGTTATGCCATTAATGGCTACACTTTTTATACTAGGGACCAATATGATAAAAGCACTATGTAAAACAGCGGGGTATGTGTTGAAGCGGAAGCGATGCATTTGTCTAATGCTAAAGATAATCGACCTGTTTATAGAAAAATGCAATACTATGGGGTAATTGAAGAGATATGTGAGTTGCATTATATGGGTTTTTCGATACCTATTTTTGGTTGCAAATGGGCTGAAAATAATAATAATGTTGTATTTGATGGTTTAGGGCATACTACTATGAATCTCAACAAGATAGGTCATACAGAAGATCCATACATTTTGGCTAGTCATGCTAAACAAGTGTTTTATGTTACTGACACGTGTGATAAAAGAAAATCAGTTGTTGTCACATCAAAATCTCGATATGTCAATGATGACAATATTTCTTATGAGGAGAGGTCTACCCCAAGTGAGGTACAAAATGTGGATGATAGTCTTGATGATACAACAACATATATACGTAGTGATCATGAAGAAGGGATTCGGCATGACAATGAAAATAGTAATGCTAATAATCGACCTAAAAAGCAGCGTCGTACAGGTTATTATGCTACTAAAAAAATCTGATTCTTGTGGTTCTTGTATTGAAATTTATAATTTGTTCTTGATATTAATAATCGACAAATATTTTATTTTATTTGATTTTAATGACACTTCTTAGAGATGATTTCTAATATATTTGTATGTTTGCAGGTTGATGTCGAAAAAGAGAAAGCAAGCAAGTGCTAATGAGGCCTCTGAAACTGGCGAGGCTGAAGAATACGCTGAGTGTGAGAATCGAAGGGGTCGTACAGTAGCTGCAGTAGTTGGAAAAGCAACTCTGAGTGGCGTCAAAATCCCCTTGGAATGGAATCACAATAAAGTGCCAATTGGGGAAAATAGATATATCTTTTCATCATACATATGTGTAGTTGTTCGTGAAAGAGTGAATATCAATTATCGAGACTGGGAGGAAGTTCCGAAAGAAGTTATTGATGACCTCTTTAAATTCATTACGGTAAGATTAAAAGCTTTTTGATTAGTTCCATGATCATGAGTTGGAGGTATAGTCCAGCAATGTTGGTGTAGGCGTCGTTTGAAGTGCGCCTACGTTAAAAGCATGTGGTGAATATGCTTGGCACTCATAGGAAGTGGGAATTGACATAATACGATTAGGGACAAGGAAAGTAGGGAGCCGCCAATAAGTTTTTAAGGACCTTGTAAACCATTCACGGATCATAAAAGACAACCACGAATAAGGGACAACGAAGGCAACAACGATTGACCCGTGAAGGTTACACCCCATTCATATTCCATGAGATTACTAACTCCATATGGTTCGGAACCACGAAAGGAGGATCGGGGATGACGGTACGAAGTGAGTCATGGAGTCACATTCGCCCTTATTGGCCTCTACTCGATTCTTATAGTGAAAATCACTCCTGTGATCTCAAAGGCATACAAAAATTAATCCAATTCGCTCCAAACTATTATTTAATTAAATTGGTTTAAGATTAATGCACACATAATTCTAAAATATCGTGATAACTTGAATTAAATAACAAGATTAAAAGGAACCTAAACCGGTTGTCCAATTTGTCTTATTAGGCATGATTTTCAATTACATATTCCCTTTAAACATGCAATATGTGATCAATAAATATAATAGAACAACATTAATATTAAAACCAATTTAATCACAATTCCAACAACATAAAATCGTTAGAAAATTAATAGAAATAAAAGGAGCATGATCCTTACTTTAATTCTGTTTGTTTGCAACTACAAAATAATAAACGAGTTAGTAACTTCAAGGAAATAAATAAACAATAATTAAATTAAATTAAATAAAATAAAGTTGATTTTGGGGCCAAACCCTCAAATAGTTCTACCTTTCACGCCTTGGCTTAAGGACAGAACCTGGAGTAAAATATGGACTCCTTTGAGTGCTTGAAGAAGGAATTTTGAAGTGAAAAGGGTAGGCTAGTGTTTATGTCAATAGCATAGAAGAGAGAAAATAAAATAATAAAATTCTCAGTGCCCCGTTCATCAGAAATGAGGGGGTATTTATAGGGAAAATGTGCTGAGGGAGCACACAGAACCCTAAAATGATAAAAACCCCTAAAAAAATATCCCGTGACACGGTCAGCCTGTACCGTGACACGGGAAGCTCCACCGTCAGACGATACACTTTCCCGTGACACGGTACACTTTTTGAGTGACGCGGGAAATTTTCAGAAAACGGGATGAAAAACGCGTTAAGGGTTTACGCGGAAAGGACACGGAATGTCCCGTGTCACGGCAAACCTCCCGTGTCACGGGAAGGCCCACCGTCAGACGGGAAGAGTTCCCGTGACACGGTGGCAGTCTGCCGTGGCGCGGGAAATTCTTGTCCATTTTCCGTCTAAATTCATTTTTAACCCTAATTTCTTTCGGCATTTTTAAGTGCCGATTGATAATTTCGGGCCTTTTCTGACTTTTATTATTCGGGCTAATATAAGAAAATAATTAAATAAAAATAAATAAAAGGTTTGGGCCAATAATAAAACAATAAAATAAAAAGGTTTGGGCTAGAATTAATTAATAAGTTTGGGCTGAAATTAAAACTATGTTTTTACCAAACACCAATACTAATCCATGGATTGTTCAAAAACATGAATTTAATAAAATACGATTTTTTAAGCACTCTCGGGATTAAATACTAAACCCGACCAATAGTGGCGGTGAAAGGTTGTTCATCATCGGGTTTGGTTTTGGGGAGACATTTTTAAGTGTCTACAGAAGCCCCCACTTTGACTGAGTTTGTAGAAACGTCAGTTTCGAAAATGATAGTCAAAGTAGCCGATAGGGACGGAGAATGATTTAAGACGTTCTGCGATCCTAAATCACTCTGTATACGCCGATACCTGCATAAAAATGTTAATTCCACAGATAAAAGAGTAAAGGGATAGAATACATATCTGGCACCAGTGTATTGGTGACAAACGAATTTGGCAGCTTCCTAAGCTTGAAGGAATCCACCGAGTGACATTTGTTGAAACGTTTTCCATGCTTGAGGAAAGCCGACTAAAGAGTTTGGTACCTTTCTAAGCCTGAAGAAAGCTACCGGATAATACTTTCCATGCCTGAGGAAAGTCGACGAACGAATTTGGTGTCATTCTATGCTTGAATAAATCCACCGATAATGCCTTTCATGCTTGAGGAAAGCCGACAAAGGAATTTGGCGGTTTTCTATGCTTGAAGAAAAATCCACCGATAACGCTTTCCATGCTTGAGGAAAGCCGACTTGGCGGTTTTCTATACTTGAAGAAAAATCCACCGATAACGCTTTCCATGCTTGAGGAAAGCCGACTTGGCAGTTTTCTATACTTGAAGAAAAATCCATCGATAACGCTTTCCATGCTTGAGGAAAGCCGACTTGGCGGTTTTCTATACTTGAAGAAAACTCCACCGATAACGCTTTCCATGCTTGAGGAAAGCCGACTTGGCGGTTTTCTATACTTGAAGAAAAATCCACCGATAATGCTTTCCAAGCCTGAGGAAAGCCGACGATTACTGAAATTGTTAAGTGCATGATAGTTCGATTTTCCCCGAACGTGGGCCGCAGATGTTTCACAATTTTAAGCTAATTATCCGACCATATTAAGTGCTTAAGATGCCGAAAAAATAGACTTTGATATTTACTAGGGGTAAAATGGTAATTTTAGTCCCCCTTAAATATCAGTTAGAATTTTCCGCGTAATTCTAGCGAAAAATAATCGCCTAATAAGCTCAAAAAACCATTCAAACTGGTCAAAAACGTCAGGAATATTCGCTGACAATGCACAGAATTGCCGCGCCACGTCACAGGCTTGCCGTGACACGGGAATAACTCCCGTTAGACAGGACGAAATCCCGTGTCACAGGAATATTTCCCCTTCTTTTTTTTTGTTTGAATCGGTCAACGCGTGAATGTCGTGCTTTTTTATCGACGAATACCAGCGCGCTACGTCAGTAGTGTACCGTTACACAATAATGGTAACCGTGGCACGGTCAATGGGGTCCGTTGCAACGATTATTTTTTTTTGTTTTGCTTTAAATTCACATTTTGCTTCACCATTTCGCCATATCTGATTCTCACTATACTTCTCTATTTTTATCTCCTTGCTTCTCAC